TGTATGTGTACTTCTCAGTGCATAACTTATAAATTAGGCATTGTTTATCCATACATTGATGCTCCTTTTGTATATATGTTATCTTGACTTGTAACTTATGTATAAAATTTATGTAATTTAACTTTATTTAACCCCTTTGCAAAATATCAGAATAAAATATTTATATATCAGTTAGTATGTTTTAATTATAAAACAACAACAGAAGTGTGGGTCTTACTATGTAATGACAGTAAGAAATATATTTACACTGAACCTAGGATCAAGGTTTTTGTTTTTAGATCAACAACTTTCTTTTGTTTCCCACAATTTAAAACTCTACTTCCTGTTTTTTCTTGTTTGTAGACAATATGTATCCAGAAGTGAAGCGTAAATGTTGGATTTACTGCCATAACTTGTGAAAATTCTTCTGTGTTTGAATTATGTCAAAGAAGTTTAATCAAACATGTTTTCTATTTACTTGTATACCTAAAAATCTACCTAATAACTATCAGTTAACCAACACTATATCTATGATTCTATATATTACAATAAGTTTATTTTGATGAATATAAAGCATTTTTCGTTTCATGACTAGAAACCCTCTAGTCTGATATACGTACGAAATCTGGGAAGTGTCTGTACACGAAAGATCAATGAGGGGACATCACAGTAAATGTAATTGATTTTTATAATTGAAAATTATAGCTGCTTATGTGTATTATATTACTGACAAATAAATTATAAGACTAGTGCATATTCCATTTTTTAATTTTACTGCTACAAATTTTCCATAAATTCAGAAACATCCACTTATTTGCAGTGCATCATTGGATTCAGAATGCCAGTTAACTAGTGAAGATAGTCCTAAAGTTACAAGTTATATAGTTTCTTGTCTGTGAAAGGAACCAACAATTGCATGAAACTAGAGCAGCATGCATGTAATCCGGAATATTTTATCAACATAATATATAGATTCAATAGGAATTCAAGTCAACTTTAAAATACACAAACAGAACTATTTAAAAAAACAATGAAAACAGCGTATAAAATAAAACTGTGAAAGGCTCATGTTGTTTATATATGTATTTTAAAGTTGTCTTATGTTGTTACTGAGTATATTTGTAGACAAGTTTATAGCCTTTTGTTATCATGAGTGAAACTGATATTATTGGTATTTCTTATGTTTTAGTAATAAATAAAAATGTTTCAAAAGTCCATTACATTTCATGTGTGTGTGTTTTGTTTTTACTCAGGTGCATACAGTGATAGTCCAGGGATTGAGATTTTCAGGCAAGAAGTAGCTAAGTTTCTAGGAGAGAGAGATGGTGTTCCAAGAGATTATAATAACATTATTTTGTCATCTGGAGCTACTGATGGCATCAAAGTTGGTATTTTCTTACGTATCTTTATATATATATATATATCTTACTTTCTGACAGTAAAGTTGATAAATTACTTATTCTTATCAAATTTCTTTCATTATAGTGATCCATAGGAGAGAGTAAAAACTGCTAAAACTTTATCCTTCCTTCAGGTCTAAATGAAATATGTTCCATAGTTGTATAGATAAACATCGTTAGTGATCATTATGATGTACTGAATCAACATTTTTGTGGAAAAGTGGGTATCCACTGTATTGGATTGCATGTATTCTGACTAGCATTGCATTACTGGCTTGTTTGCACAATATGCACATAGTAAAAGTTTGAGATGTTTGCATCATACAGCATATTTCTGTTTATGTTAAAGCCACTGCAAAATTAACACTAAAATTATTTTCTTAAAGTAGTAAACAATTTTACTAACATGTTCATACCAGTTATGGGCTTTTAATTACACAGCAAGAATGACATTACTTTGAATTAAACATATTACCCAGAAATGAATATTTTAAAATTTGTCTGTTTAAAAAGTTTTTAAATATAAAGTGTGATAATAACACATTTGAATTCAGTTATTTTTACTGTTTTACAGTTAAACAACGAGTTTATACAAAGTGTTTCTGAATTAAGAAAATTTAACAAGTTAGTGGCTTGATCTTGTCCAAATAAGAATTCCAGGCTAAAAACAGTGTGCCTATCTTAAAAAAAATTATTTTCAGTTACCACACTGTTACAATAAAAATATGTACAAATATATGTTTTAAACATTTAAAGTACCCCATTGGTTCAGCAGTAAGGTTATGGACTTATAATGCTAAATTGTGTAGCTTTGCACTTAAAAATAAATAAACCTTTAAAATATTGATTCACATACTAAGTAGGAATATGGACTGAAACTATGCCATTCTAAAGTAAAATGTATATAAAAGTAATGTTGAAAAATGCACAAACAGTTAAAAAGTTAATGAGTAAATAAACATTAATAAAACATTTTAATCTACCTGAACTAAAACCAATCAGATATATGAAGATACATTAGTTAACTGGTAATTAAAGGAATAAAATTATCAGACATAAAAGGCCAGAAATTCATATACTTTTAAAGAAATGGATGAGTACATAAATTTGAATAATAGATAGTAGAACTACATATGTTGTATATAAATGTATTTGTTTTCTTGTAATTGATAGTTTAAAAAGAATATATAGTACAAATTAGCTGTTAGTAGTATTTTCATACTATTGTAATAATAATAATATATCTTACATTTAAGTATTTTATATAGCTTATTGTTACAAATATAGATTTTACTAATTTCTTAGAAAAATATATATATTAAGCACTGTAAAATATAGTATTTTAATTTTAAATTTACCAAGATAATTATTGAAAGTAAATTCATGTTATTTAGTTATTTATCTTTTTTTTTCTATAGTCAATTTTAATGATACTGAACCATTCCAAGTCAGACAAGCCCCCTGGAATAATGATCCCTCTACCTCAGTACCCTTTGTACTCTGCCCTTGCTAGGGAATATGGGATGTATGAGGTAATATGTTAGTTATTTTTTACTTAACATATTTTTGGGTTAAACTGATGTTTACTTTCAAAAGTGGGACTATTATCTTGCAACATGATTGACATTTAATTATATTGAATATGATAATTTTGAAGTACGTGCTATACACACAATTCAGGGACATGCATTACTGTAAGCTATAGTCAGTGTAGTACTAGATATGTCTGTAAAGATTAATAATAAACATTTGAAATATAATTCTCCCACAGATTTGTTATTTTCTTGATGAGGAAAATGAATGGGCACTGAGTATACAAGAACTAAAACGAGCAATTAATGAAGCTAGAGCTCACTGTGAACCAAGGGTTTTGGTAGTGGTCAATCCAGGAAACCCAACAGGTTTGTAATTAAGCTATTTTAGTACTAAAGTTTTCATCTTGCATATTGAACCAACAAATGTGATGGACTTTTTTGCATGTAGAATATTCCTGTATAATGATTCCAAAAATATGATATTTTACAACGTTATTGAAAAGCTTTAATCATGATGAAACTTAGTTGAATGGACAGCAACTGCCTGTTATGGGAACACATATGCAGAGGATGATGTTTTGAAAGTCTTCCACCTGAAGATGAAATGCAGAAGGCTTTTGAAACATCCTCTTCTGCACTTGTGTTTCTACAACAGGCAGTTGCCATCCATTCAACTAAGTTTCATCATGAATACTCTGCCTAAACAATCTACCAAAGCTTGAATCATACTAAATTTCAAAACAACTTTTAAAACTATTGTTGTATGTATGTACAATAAAAGTTAATTTCCATTCTTAAGTTACATATAGAGTACATTAGGAAATGTGCAAAAGGCAAAAGTTATATCCTTTCACTTCACATTCAATGGAGGAGGATGGGCTGCTTTCGATTATGTATGGTTGAGGTACATAATTCTTTTATTTAACCATCTGAATTATTTACATTTGCTTGTGATTGAGCTCTTTATTCTTTATTTAATTTTATTACTAGGCAACTGCCTTTTCATAATTGGCTGCAGAAAGTGAATGTATAGTGTGGTTCAGAACATCATGAGTTCAAGCACCTGAACAAGGCTGTCTAATTATTTTTACTCATGTTGGCACAGTTATATACCACTCATGACTACACAGGTTTTTGGCATTTCTTGTCTTTGCATTTTTGTATTAGATTTTAAGATATTTTCACTTACTTAGTCATGATGATGTTAAGTTCTCATTTTTTAATTGCATATTTACTATTATTACTATATACATGGTTAAAATTTTATGTTTTTCTAGGCTCTGTACTTACCTATAAGAACACTGAAGATATTGTGAAATTTGCACATGAAGAGAAATTATTTCTTGTAGCTGATGAGGTAACCATTATTTGATATGATGATGTACAATTTCACAATATTTTTTTTGAAAGAATTATTTTAAAAATCATGTGAAGCAAAAGATTCTGAAGTCACTGTTATATATATATATCTGTGTGTGTGTGTGTGTGTAAAACCCTTGCTTATCTTTACTGGTGTAATCCTAACTTTCAAACATTAGTCCCTCCATTTTGTTTTTTTACATAAATGTATATGATATATGGAGTTGCACTTTTCATACTGTATGTATGCAACATCTGTGTTAAGGTATTTAAACATACAAATACAAAATCCAATATTTTTAATTTTATTCTAATTATTTTTACTATAGTATGACTAAAGAATGTGCTATTTTCTAGGCCTAATAGATTTTTGAGTCATTATGTATGACGAGAAATGTTTTTGTTCACTCTGTAAGTTGCTTTTTGTGTCTTTGGGTTGAAATATTTCATACAGTTGAATTTATGTATCTACCACTTATGTTTAAGTGTTTTTTCTTTGCTGCTCTTTTGCCATAAATGCAATATAAACCATGTTTTTGAGTTTCTCTTTCTGTGTTTCATTGATTCTGTTATAAGGTATTTGTTTAGCACAACCTATCATCAAAATTCTTCTACCTTAAAAAAAAAAAAGTTTTGAATTGTAAATACTGTCATATAACAACAGCAAACCATTTAAAAGTGTATTAATGAGAATGACAATCCTATAGTTTTTGTTTTCATTTGAATATTTCCAACTATGCATATTTTATTATGTACAAAGTTTGTCTTATTTCACTTTTTGGGTTGCATTATCTAATCAAGAACCAGGTTAATTCCAGTGAAGAGTATCTTTACAAAAATTGATTTAATTGCTTGTGTGTGTATATAGGGTTACGTTTTGACTGAATTGCCTTATTGATATGTTCAGCTAGTGGATTTTTGTAAACATTTTCTTTCTAAAGCTCATTTACAGTTATAGCAAAAATGAAAACACTTGTTCTCGATTGGTATTCACTGATTTTCTTAGATTTATTGTGTTAATTTCAGAAATAAATAGATTTTTTTTCATTCTTAGTGTTGGTTTCTCTTTGGGCTATTGTTTCAGTTCTGTATGTGTTTTGCTATTTGTGTTGGATTTACGCTACTGAAATTTTAGTACTCGTTGATTTGTTCTTTTAGCCTCAACAACCAGGAGTCTAGAAAAATGAATCAACAAGCACTTAAACTTAAGAAGTGTAAACCCAACACAAATAGCAAAATACATATTGAACTGTACTAACAGCCCAATGAACAAACAACACTTCAAGATCCTTCTCAAAGCATAGAATTAGAGAAATCTACATGCTCTTTAAACCACCATAATAATACCTAAGGAAACCAGCAATCGACAATTGGGAACAAGTGCTTCCAGATATTCTTGCTAATTTCATTGTTCTTCTGAATATGTTTAATTATTATAAAGTAAATTTTATCCTTTAATGTTTTTTGGTTTTTTTGTATGTGAGCAAGTATATCTATCTGTACATACATCTCAAAACTTGTAATCTAAAATTAGCTTTGGGTTGAAAATCAAACCAGGTAAGTTGTTGGAAGGATGTACATGTTTAACATTTGTTTTATTAGGTATACCAAGACAATGTTTTTGCTGAAGATGTGAATTTTCACTCTTTCCACAAAGTCATGAGCAAGATGGGACCACCCTATTCAGACATGGAGCTTGCATCTGTAATGTCTGCTTCTAAAGGGTATATTGGAGAGTAAGTGAATATATTGCTGTACTTTATTTTAGTTGCATCAGTGCAAAATTCTCATTTTTAACAGATTGGAAAGTGACTAGTATTGTTTTTTTAAATCCATAACTAAAGAATAACATCTTTAGCTTTTTTAGTTGGAACTTAATGCACTAACAATATACATCAAGTGCCACATTTGTAGTAGTTCAATAATCATTGTAAGTTAACTACACTTCTTTCAAAAATTAAGTGATTGTTTAGAAACTTCCTTTGTAATCCAATTCAGTAACCTGATTATTATTTTTAAAGACAAGGGGGCAACTTATACAACTAATGGTATTGGTTTGTTTTTGTATTGTATGTGAGACAAAATTAAAAGTCTTAGCCCTGCATAGAATCTTCCAGTTAAATTAACACCACAGATGATCAACTTTCTTAGAATACTATAAAAATGACATTGAATTACTTTCACAAGATGATCTTAATATAAGTGATAAGTATTTTGTTTATCTGTAAGAGTGGAGACAGAATGATTTTTGTGCATGCAGTAGTTTGATTATCTGACAGTGACTTCATAATCTTTCGGTTGCTTTAAGTTAACAAGAAGAGACAAAAAAGGCAATGAAGAAAATAAGAATTGATGTGTAATGTACATATTATATTTTGCTTGATCTTCAGATACTGATGATTAAAAGAGCTGTAAAATAGTATATTTATAAACCTTGTGTGATAAGCAAAAAATTGGGAAACTACATTAGTTACACATTTGATAACTATTATCCAAAATACATATATTTAATAGAAATATATAGTACTTTAAGATATAGTAAGAAATGGTTGGTAGTGATTTTATGTGAGTTGATGACTGTATCAAGAACCAAGATAGTGGTTCATAATAGGGATTCCAAGGAATTTTACAAAACCCTAATAGAATGTTTGGGCAAAAAGCTCCTTAACCAGTAAAGATTTAGTTCAAATAACACTTTAAAATCTTTACTATTGACTGCTATGTACAAAAAAAGCACACATGTTAGACTTACAAGGAAAAGAAATCCACTCAAAATGACCCATTTTTAATTTTTATTCTTATTATTATTGTCATGCCAGTTTTCAACAAAAATGGTTTGGTATATTCCACCCAAACTTTTTGTAGAACACTAAATAAGGTACTGCAAAGGTCATACGGGTATTGAAAAGTCAATTTGTTTCTTCTATATTTTACATAAACTAAAAAACATCACAATTCTACTGTAAACAATGTTATCATTACCCATTGAGGTTAACTTTATTACAGATATATGGTGTTCCTTTAAAAAGCTTAAATACAGAGTGAAACCAGAATTACCAGCCAATAATAGATGAACATTAGATGACTGTAACATGTACATACTCAATGCTTTGTGCATTGTACAATCAGTGTCTTTATGGAGCCAACCCCTTTATCATGTATGAAGTGGAGTAAAAAAAATCAATACACATAATATTAACATGTAATGCATACCTCAGGGTGGCAAAATTTCCTGATATATTGCCAATTTCTGTGGAACATTAACTATGGAATTTGATTACTGAAATAGAACAGCAAAAAATATTTTCAAGGGTGTTTATATATTTTTTAGGCATAAATACTTGAAATTTTATGATCATTTGAAAAATGCAATTTCAACTACATTTTCTGGAAAAGTGCAATCTTTTCCAGGCTGTTTTTCTTGTTCTTTTGCTTTTTCTTTCTTATCTTTTATGAAAATAAATGACAATTCTTTTGCAGTTTTGTTGTTTTTTGGAATGAATACTTATGTTGACCTCAAACAGATACAGAAATCATAATGAAACACCTATTTGGGCTCCTCCTTCATCTGCCTTTCCTTTTCTTGATTTGGCTGATCCTGCTTTTTATTTTCTTCTCATCAGGGAAGTCTTTGATGGGGTTTATCATCTCATATCTTTCCAGGACCACTGCGTAGCATGCCTTTGGTGCAATTTTTCATTTACATCAAGAATATCATTGATGGTATTTGAAAACACATCTGGAAAACAGATTTAGCTCTGTTACGTTATGAGAGAATCAATGCAAAAAAGTTTAGCCAATTATCTTTTTTTCTGGTTTAAATAGCTCTGTGGGACTGAGAACAAATTTGTACCCCAGAGGTGTGTATTACATGTTAAATTTTATTACACACATAATAATTACTTTAAAAGACCCCAGAGGTATGTATTACTTGTTAAATTTTATTACACACATAATAATTACTTTAAAAGACCCCAGAGGTATGTATTACGTGTTAAATTTTATTACACACATAATAATTACTTTAAAAGACACAAAGGTTTATTTAAAACAATGTTTTAGATATATATGTTTTATTTGAAAATGCCGCTTTTCTTCTGGTAAAATTTTATATGTGCTTGTGTCTTAGTCTAGGCATATATTTGCCCATTGCTATGCATTACATATATAGAGAATTTAGTTACACATAAATCATAAATGCTCACTATATTCTCAAACAAATCTCCGTGACAATCTCCAGCTGCAGCTTAACTTTTTATGTCTCGAACTAATGTGATCAAATAGTCAATAGCTACAGTAAATCATCATGTATCAGCCAACTACTAGCTATGTTTATTATCATTAGAATGTATAAAATAGTTACCATATGAAGTAATCCTTTGCCCATAGTTGAGCATAAAAAATAGCCAGCAAATAAGATGAGTAAAAAATTGGGAATTTAAAAACCTGCAAAAAGGTATCGTAAAAAAAGTAAGAAAACAAGGTTGGCAATATTATAGATATTATTTACTCGAACTAGAAATTCCTATTTTGACTCCACCAAATGTAATTCTAGGTAACAGCTGGAGCTAGAATAGGTTGGTTTATAGTTTGAGTAAATAATATTTACTGTATCTCCAGCATTGTTTCCTTTCTTTTTTTGCAATCCCTTATTTTCAGGTTTTTAAATTTCCAATTTTTATTCATCTTTAAAAATAAATTATGGTATAGGTGTATTCTTTTTGGCTAATGTGATTTTGTCGTTACACCTTTTTCATTGCTATTAGCAACAGTGAAAATATATTAAAGTGACATATATTACCAAATACAGCACTGACTTATAGAATTCCAGATGTATTGAATGAAATAATATTGGGTGTGACTTTACTATTGAAGTAATGTTTGGTATTCCAATTGTTCTGCTGATACATGTAATTGATATGAAGATGCTCTGTAGGTTACAATGTAAGGTTTGAAATTGCATTTTTTCTTAAAGTATGGATAATAGTTACACATAAAAGGTTTGTAGTAAATCTATAGTAATTTTTTATGGATAGAGAGTGGAATTAAGTAATGAGTCACATTAATCCTCAGAAGAATTATAACTGATTTTTGTGATAGTTTAGAACTGCAGTTCTAAAAATATACAAGATTATAACATTACTTATTTTCAATTCATTTGGCATTCTCAGAGTAGGGATGTGTTAATACTCTAATGTCTAAAACTCCCAAAAATTAATGCATGAGAGAGTAATATCTGAAAGTTATAACTTATAGCTAGAGGAAACATCATTTAAAGCTTACTATGGAAGAAGAAGACAACCCCAGTTTCTGCATTATTGATCCCTTTAATAATGTGTTTTTGCTTTGTAATAATTTTAAGTGTTAACATTTTTTCTTTCACTGGTGACATAGAATGTTCCACTTTATTCATTAGCACTAGCACCTCTATACCTAATTATAACAAAACATTACAAAATTAACATGTAAAGTTACATATGTGAAAAATATTGGGCTTAGAAAGATTTCAGATTGTAAAGGAAGTTTATCAGTTAATGTTTATAGATTGCTTACCAGAGAAAATAGATGCACTGTTTCAATGCAAAATTGTTATTTATCATAAAGTGAATTCTTTGTTATAAAATCAAAAATAATAATTTTGTAGTGTTTATCAAACTACCTAACAAAAAATAATATCCACATTAACATGCCAATCAGCCTATTGTTATAACTTGAGCTAATATTTTATGATCTGTATGAATGATAATGAAAATGATTTGGCATGAAACTTTTAAAACGTTATCAGCTGGTCAAAGAACCAAACAGAAATGTAAAGTTAGCTGTATGCCCCTGAAAATGTGACTGAGTGGAAATAGTTTAAATCAGATCTGTTTATGACAGTTCTGTAATTTTATAACGATAAATTGTGTATGTGTTTTGTAGAAAAACTAATGATCTGCTGACGTGAGATACATTTTACTCTTAAAACAGTATCAAGTTCTTTCCATCTTAGGTAGGTATGTACATGGATTATAATAGATAATTGCTTTACATATGACATATGTAACATTTTATTTGCATTGCACTGTTAAAATATTTCATAATTAATACAGTATTGTAAATTTCTGTCATAGATGTGGTATGCGGGGAGGTTGTTTGGAAGTTTTTAACTTGGATCCAGATGTTCAAAAAATGTTGTTCAAAGCTGTGTCTGCTCATCTCTGTCCTTCTATTCTTGGCCAGGTATTGTAAGTAATAATAATTAAATGCAAAAAGCAGTTTAATAAAAGTCACTTTTAAATCCTTGTGTGACTAATCATGGGGTTTAAAAATTTTTAAGAACAACTTTATGGTATTTGTTATTTTAAAATTGAATGACACCTTATGCAATACATTTGTTAAATGCTTAGGTTAGAGGCTCCAAGGCTCATCCATAACTATTTCTAATGTAGAATGGGTGACCAAGGGGAGGGGGGTAAACAGTCAACAGCATCTGCCATCTACTGCACTGCAATTCTTAACAGAATATTACATTATCATAATTATAATACACCCACAGCTGAAAATTCAGAATGTGTAAAGTCTCAGTATGGAATGCTAACTACTAGGTTAATTAAAAAACGTTATTATTTTACAAGTTAAAGTAGTCATATCATGTATTTGAAAATAAATAAGGAAGGATGATTCTAACAGTGTCATTGCACAAGCACACAAGTTTTTAGTAGTGATTTTGTTTCCAAATTATATGTATCAGATTTTCATATTCAGTATTAAATATTTAGAAAAGAGGATGACTAACATCATGTTTGATTGATTAACAGACTTGTAAACTGTGAAATGTAGTGTGTCAACTTCTCTGTGTAATATAAAGCTTATCGTACAAGTTGCCAAAAAAGTTTTATTAGGTCAGTGTAAATACTCCTTTTTTTTGTAGGGAGAGATTTTATTATTTAAATGACTTGTGATAAACTATTTTAGCCTTAAAACTAAATGTTAACTTTAGTAGAAAATGTACACTGAGTTCAAGAAATGATTATTTGACTATTATCATATGTTTTTGCTGAATATTTCATATGGTATGTGTTTTTTTATTTTCCAAGGCAAATAGAAAAGGTGATATTTTCTCAAAGTATAAAGTTAAGATTGAATTAGATCTCAACCTATTTGCCAAGCAATGTTCTAACCAGTTAGGCTATTGGTTCTTTAACAGCATAAAGCTCAGCTCACTTTATTACTTTCATTGAACTGAACTTGATGTGATTCAGTTATTCCAGTTGGTTTTTATAGCTCAGTCTGTTTATTTCTATCTGATTAGATTTGCCAAGGTTAAGTTTTGTTTCTAGTAGAGTTGGGAATGTTCACTATTTTTGAAATGGATACATAGTTTTTGAAAAATAAAAACTGGGATAACACTGAAGTCAATTTTCTGTGTCAGATTTATACAAGATAAGTTGTAATTAAACATTATTTCTGTGTCAGATTTGGGCAAGATAAGTTGTAATTAAACATTATTTCTGTGTCAGATTACAAGATAAGTTGTAATTAAACATTATTTCTGTGTCAGATTTGGACAAGATAAGTTGTAATTAAACATTATTTCTGTGTCAGATTACAAGATAAGTTGTAATTAAACATTATTTCTGTGTCAGATTACAAGATAAGTTGTAATTAAACATTATTTCTGTGTCAGATTTCGACAAGATAAGTTGTAATTAAACATGTTTCTGTACTCTTTTAAAGATCATGATGTACTTGCTCTCATCACAACCCAAACCAGGAGATCCTTCATTCCTTTTATTTGAAGAAGTGGGTATGAAATAGAAAAACTTAACTATACTTATTGTATTTTGGAGGTTTTATTTAAAAATTGCACATAGTTATATATGCATAGGAAAATGTGATATCCTTATCAGCTATGCCACTTATGACATGGAGGACATGTTAATGTATAATAATCATGCAAATAAAATTAATCTATAGGTCTGGTAAGTGTCAGATTTAACTGTTATTATATATCCTATAAAAGTCTGATAACTGTTAGATTTGACTGACTTTGTATGTCTGACTGTTATATTGTTATATATATAAAATTTTTCAAATAAACTGTATTACATCAAAAGCATACAGGCGATCACTCAGCATTGTATAGCCCTGACAAAATTATAATATAACCTACAATTTATTTATTGTACATGTAGATGTACGTGCCAACAAAGTTTTAATATAACAATGTAAAATTATATCATTTGTACAAAAGGTATCATTTTTAAAGTGAAAATGTATGTGGTTATAGCTCCCAAAAGCATTGGGGATATTCTATCTATCGGACATAAGCAAAACAACAGATGCAGAGCTAACCAGCATGTAACCGAAAAACAAAGGGGGGATTAGGATTTGGGTGCTAGAACCCACAACAAATTTTTGATTTACTATTTTCTGAAATAAAACTAAAATCTCTAAGTATTTCAAAACATGTTTTCTGGATAATAAAAAACAATACACGGGTATTGGAATGCTTAGAATTTGTAAATTCTTTGAGTTCAGCCTTTTCTGTTCTGACATAAGATTTTATGACAATGTATATGAAATTAAATTTGAAATATTTAATAAAGGTCTTTAATAGTATAATAGATGAATTTATAGTTGAAAGTGTAGCTATTTCTAAATATAAATTTTCAAGTGTACAGTGTAAAAACCTTCTGAATTTTTGTATATTTAATAATTATATAACCTTTAATGATAAAATATTTAAACAGATAGTGGGAATCCCTATGAGGGCTAATTTCTCTTCAAATATGGCTAACTTGTATCTTTATTTTTATGAAAATAGATTTATGAACTAAATAACAAATCCTAACAAATATGTCTTTACTTTTCGTTATATTGACAATTTAATATCGATTAATAATCCAGAGTTTGAACCATCTGAAATTTATCCTAAACTCGAATTAGAACGTAGTACTAGCAATAGTTTCATAGCACACTTTTTAGATCTAGACATTAACTTGGCAGAAAATAAAGTGCAGTTGGACATATGTGATAAAAGAAGAGAATTTCAATTTTTTTATCCTAGGATTGTCTTCCCCAAGTAGTGTGGTGCCACATACGATGTTAAAAGATATAATTATTTTTCAGATTTAAAGATACATAACAGTGGGGTTACAGTTAGTAGCATCATTAACTGAAATATTAATCAAAGTATTACTGCTTATACTATATTGAATAGTTATCAATATCTTGCAGTGATAAAGTGTCAATATTACTATTAGAAATGTACAGTAAGATTATATATTTCATAATTTAATATCATGGAATAACTATACTAGGGAGAAGGTTGGATGATGTTCTTCA